GGAATCAGCGACTGAACTAGCTAGCACAATTGCACTAGATTCCACCCCATTTTCAAGTCTTGTGAACATGAGGTAATTTGTGAAGATTATGTGTAAGAAGGAGATGTTTAGAAAGGCTGGTAGAAAGAATTGTAAGAACAAATGTTCACTTGAGTGGGACCACAGTAGCCTCCTGCAGAATCGGGAATAGAAAGACAATGCTAGTTGTCACAGCTGGTAGTTTAGATTCCAAGAACTGAACCAGATAGAAGATTGCCCTGAGCCTGTGAGTCACATTGGAAAGAGCCATATTTATGTACAGCTCCAATAAAAGGCTTTCTCATGGTCCCAGTCCATGTCTCTAAATACTTTCCCCTCTCTGTAAGCATGAGTTTCAGCCTAAGATAGTTTATGTCTATCCACTTCCCAAACTTAGGCACTTTCAACATGGAACTATAAGGTACCTAAATTTGACAAGAAACAGATGGAGATCTGATGGAGTACACCAGTGATGGAGCAGGTCAAGATATCTTATTTCTCCCTCAGCAAACATACAGACACATTGAACTGCAATAGTGACAAGATATAAATCTGAAGAGCCTCTTGTCTTAAAGCTATCTAATGCTCCACTCTGATGGTAACAGCCTTTTTTTTTATCTTGATCTGAAGATTTCTTTGGCATATGGCATGAAGTGCCCTTATAATGCATATCACTCACACTCCATGTTTGGAGTTTTAAGGAGTAATGTGATTCCATGCACCTCAATTTTCTTCAGTTAAGTTGATTAACTATTTTACCATTTACTGTTTAACACATCACCTGGAACTATGTTATCTAGTACAATTTTAGTCATCACTTTCCTTGGATGAAAGTTTCTTTTTATGCCTCCTAATCTCTGATCCAGAACTCCATGGTACTATAAAAGTTCTATATTGCAGCTGGTAGAATCTAATAACTAGCTGTGCTCCTTTGCTGATCTGTTCAGCACCGTGCCTAAAGACATATTCTCCAGATTAAATGCACTGAATTGCCCAGACCAAATGAGTTGATATAGAGAGGAAAATTTGAAGTCAGTTATCAGTGTAAAAGTTAATGTTACTTAAATTAATGAGGTTACTTATCAGTTATGGCCTATTATCTGTTTTGCCCTCTTGCATATTATGCACAATAAGAGTAATTCTTTGCATTGCCATGAAACATTGGGAAAATTAGTTGTAAAAAATTGATATGTGGTTGAAGAAATAATTAGTCCCTTTCTTTTAAAAATTTTGGATATGTTTTTAGGCAGAGTTTGTTTAAGGAGCTTTCCAGCCCACCAGTGCTCTTAATTTAGAAGACCTTAATATGGGAGAGGTATAAATCACAATTTTGCTTGTACTAGCAAAACCCCTGCACCAAAAGCAACACTCAGTACACCCAGCATGCTCAGTAGTTCTGGCAGTGTCTCCTTTCCAATCAGCTTTGCCTGCTTTAGGGAATTTTCTGTCCCTGCGGTAGGTAAAGTTGCAGCTGTCTTCACCCTGTCTGCATCAGCCCTGTCTGCAAGTAGACTTATCCAAAGTCTGGCATCCCCATCAACATAAACAGCCATAAGTGTTAGAGGAGTTATGGCTGCTGCTTAAACAAAACTGTCTTGGAACACAGTCTTTGGGTCACAAGTAAATAACTGGATTGTGGGTTCCTTTGGTTAACACATATTTACAACCTTTTGCAGAAGGCACAGAGATGTTTATTACTACTACTATCACAGGATCATAAGATCAAAGGAAAGTGAAACTAGAAGGGACCTCTCTTAAGGTCATGTAGTCCAGCCTCCTGCTTAAGGCAGAATCATCCCTGACTAAACCATCCCAACAAAGTATCTATTCAACCTACTCTTGAAAATGTCCAGGAATGGAGATTCCACAGGTTCTCTAGGTAGCCTGTTCCAACGCTTGACCACCCTTGTCATCAAAAAGTTCCTCCTAATCTCCAACCTAGATTAGGCTGACAATGTCTTGATAATCTTCAGTCAGAAAGATATTTAACTGTTTTTTTTTTTTAATTTGGGATTTCATTTTTCTTTGCTTATAAAGGAGAAGGGCACACTATATAGGTCAGATCCTACTCCACCTAAATTTACTTGGTGCTTCCATTCAATTCTACTTGAGTCCCTAGAAAACAATTAATGCAATCCTCATTGCTACCTTTTATGATTTGGTCTTAAGGTGAAGATGATGGTGTGTTGCAAAAATAGGCATTTTTTAGGGATATAAGCAGGCTGGAATAGGACCACACTTAGTCCGTGAACAGGCATTCATTTTGTTTCCAACAGAAATCTTTCCAGGACAGGGCGTGTACAGGAGTTCACCCTGAAACTGTGACATCTGTCCTACTCTGTGCACCTTCACCAGACTGGGATGATCCCAGTTTTGGGAATGCATGGGGAATAGTGGTTACTCTACTCCTTCTGGTGCCCAGGGGAAGTAGAGCAAGCAGTAAAGGAAGACTCTCTGCGCCTTTCCCAGACTGGAGCAAATCCCCCAGCTTCTTCCACAAGCCAGGCAGTACTCAGTTTGGGAAAGAGGTAGTGAGTGGAAGTAGCAGCTCTCCTCCAAAACAGGCACTGCCTAAGGAGTGGGCAGGGAGCAATCACTCCACTGCTCAGCTACCAGTGATTGGTAGCTAAGCAGAGGGAGCAGTGTAGCAACTCCCCAACCTGTTCCTATAACCAGGGACCCCAAGAGAAATTTAATGAGTAATTTTACACCCCTAGTTTTTACTAGAAGAGCAATGATTCTCCTGCTAGAAACATAACACCTGTACATGACCTTAGAGTATAGACCAACATAACAATTGCATTGTTATCAAAGGAAATTAATATAAGCTGTCACAGTGCAACAATTAAGTTTGCTTGAGTCTATAGCAATCCAAGTTTAGCAGAACTGCTATAACTTATTCCTGCTTCATCCAGAGGTAAACTTAATGCAGTTTGGCTCACTTGTATCGCTGCAGGCTTATGGAGACACAACACTTAAAGCATATCAGCTGCTACATGCTCCCATTCCCCTTTTAAATTGGCTATGAATCTACATTTGTATGTACCTTATGGCACCTAATAGTTGGAATAGGATCTAATGCAGTACTTAAAACCTCCAGATAAAATTATGCAATCCATTTAAAGCAGATTTGTTTCCCCCACAGTGCAATACAGCTTTTTTTAGTAACATTTCTATGGTTTGAATTTGATAATGTTGGTTGATCTAAAATGTGGAGAGCATAAATAAGATCCATAATGAGATCTCAAATGATAATGCAAGAATTTGTCTCAGATTAAACTATACTTTAAAAAAAAGTGTCTGAAAAACCTTATAATTGTTTTGCCTAAAATGGATTTTTATGAAATAAATTAGATCAGTGATATTGTGAAGTATAAAATAAAGTATTAACTCATCAACTCATGATAACCTTATGTGCTATATGTTTAGCCAAGAAAGGTTTTTGTTTGTTGAGTTATATTCCTTCTTTAAACTCAACTTGTCTGAAAAAAGGATTACATTTTATAGCTTCAGCTAGTATTCCTAATTCTGGCAGTACTTTCAGCCTGGTCCTGTTCCAGTCATTGTACTATAGTACTTTTGAAAAATTGGCTCTTATACCTGCATAAGCAAAAGGGTATTCAAAGCTCACTTATATCACAAGATCTGCTTTTTCCCTCTTCCTTCTGAGAAATGTTGGGGCCACTCACGTGCTCAAGATTCTTATTGAGCTTAAGACTGGAAAAGATTCACAGGCCCTTCTCACACCTTATGCTGTGAGTTGCACAAATGTTGGTCGGTGTTACTGCTAACTTGGACTTTGGAGCAGTCACACCCTTAGTCTAAAAACCTTCTGACTGTCCCCCACCTGCACAGCTGTGACTTGCCAGCAGAGGCCTGGTGAGCAGGGGAAGGACTAGGAGCTCGAGCTGTGAGTTGCTGCTAGAGGGCTGGTGAGCCAGGATAGGCTTCTATCCCTGCTGTACCAGTGAGGGTGAGAGATCCTAGGATACTGGAGGACTTCAACATGGGCAACACACCTTAATGGAAAAGGGGCTGGGTAGTGTGGATCAGAAATAATTCTGTCCTGGAGTAGCATAACTTTGGACCTCATAACAAGTGCTTAAAACCACTTTAAGTTGTTATTGTATGGATAATCCAGGGATTAAGAGCTCCAGGAGCTGCCCAAAAAGTACTGTGTAACGCACTTAGATGCAAACTACTTTACATCAAAAGGCAGTGTTAGTCAGAGAAGTACACATATTTGCGATCTGAATCTCAAAAGCAATACACATGAAGTCCTCTTTATTTGGGCCCTTTGTGACTGGCCCATCATCCTGAGAAATCAGTTGTCCAAATTAATCTGGTTTGAATTTAGAGTTTGTAGCAAACTGAGTTGAATTTGATATGATTTGGAAGTATTGTCTCTGTTACTTTGCACAGCTGCATCACCAGGGTTTCTCAGCTTCTTGAGTAGTCTACAGGTTATATTCAAAAGCTCCTTAAAGATAAGAGAGCTGAAGGGATTCCTGAGCAGTCAGACACTGTGGTTATACTGAGCAAAACAAGTGGTTTAAGCCAAATGAAAGGGATCAAAATGTGTTGTTCTGGCTCTGGCCAACAAGGATTGAAACAACAATATAATCCTCAGTGACTGAGCCAGAGCTATATTCACTCTAGCTTAGGCCAAGTGAAGCACTGGATCAAAGCCCTGTATTTGCATTACCAAGGAAATCTGATTTACTTTTTGTAGCACAAATCCCAGTGTTTATGTTGTTTTTCTTCTTTTCTCAGCTCACACTGCGAGATCCTAAGAATCTTGTCCCTGTTACAATTATCAAGCAAGGTAATTTGTTCATTTTTTCATGTTTGATATTTGTGCTCTCGACAAGGAAAACGAATGGCTGTTAAAGGGAATGAAAAAACAGGGCACATTAACAATGTGCCTGGTCTGCCTGGTGAAACTTTCCTTCAAACCCAAATGAGTTGAGCCTCAGAAATTTGGACTTTTTTTTTTTTTGAAAAAGTAATTAAACTATTCTCTCTTTCTATTTTTAAATGGAGATTTTACACTGCAATAAACAAATGACTTCCTCCGTTGAGTAGTAACCCCTTGCAGTTTCTACTCGCATTCCAGTTTCTACTAGCATCCCCCAACTGCTTAGGGTTACCAGCTAACCTGTGATAACCTAGTTTTGTCCCACCAAGTAGCCAGAGGTGAAAAAGAAACACCATGCATCTCAGGTTAAATCTGCACTATACAGTGAGATATTTGCTTTAGGGAATGACAGATTTACAGCATCTTCATAAAGTTCCAGTTATACTTCAGTACCAAGTTTTACATTCTCTCCATTTTCTGCTTTCCATTCATATTAGAATTCTTCAGGTTCTTTTCCTTTTCTTTACAAGGGCATCTTTCCTTTGTGTTTACAAAGTGATAGTACTTAAGGGTATATTTTGCTGAATGTTCATTTAATATCTTAAACTACAGGCTTTGTTGAGGTAGATATCATCTTTTTACTCCATCTGAAGTAGAAAGCCCCATCCTTTCTTCCCTCCAACATGCCTATTTTTTGTTACTATGCATACAGTGTGCTGGTGGCCAGTAGCATAATAATGAGTGGGTGAGCAGGGTACCAGCCACAGGTGCTGCCTAAGGCAGGGTACTGGAATGGAGCTATGAGAGTGCCTCTCCCTCCTATCCTCCACCTTCTCCTACCCACCCTCACCCTGCACCTTCTCTACAGTGGCTCCAGACGTGGGAAAGGCAGAGCAGCACCATCAGTGCATAGTGCCCTGGGTGGTGGCAGCACACAATGCAGGAGCAGTGTGTGGACATCCACTGCTGTGGGGAGATGTCATCTCCTTTTCAGCTGTCCCAAATTGGAGTTTTAAATGGTTGTTCAACACATGACAAAAAAGGAGACATCTTCCCCACCATCTGCTGCTCCATGCACTGTCATGAGTCAGGATGCAGAACTGGCCAGTTACTCCTCTACTTCTGGCAGATAAAGTGGCTCTCACAAGGCCAAATCCAGACCCTGTTTTTTCTTTAATGTAGCCTGCTGCCGTATCCTACTGAATATAAAGGTGTAGCAAGCAACCTCCTACACTGATCTGAATAGGCTTTAGTTGGGGAGATTTCAGATTAGTCTCTGCAGTCTTTGCAGGATGTAAGTTTTTAAATCTGCAACTTAGCTGCCATCTTGAAGCTCCTGAAATGATGTTGTATGGCCTATAGGAAAAGTTTATGCTTCTTGTATTCTCTTTCCTTTCATGGTTCTCTAACAATAGCCACAATCGACATTTTGTGCCCACCCATCTGTGTTATTTGACAATTGCCTGATCAAAACATAGGTTGTGTATAGGGAAAACGAGGGGCATGTGTGCACAACACTTCAAAGCAGGCTAAATGCTTTTGCACCACTTTAATGGTGTCGGTGTCTGCACACCTCGATGGTGTATTGTGCATTAATTCCAGCTACTGTAGGAAATTCAATGGTGTAATGTGCTTGAAATGACTTGGGGTGCAGCAAACCAAAACTTCTCTGAGGAGTTTTAGTTTGCTGCTCCTGCAGCTGCGGAGCAAAGCACCAGGCTCTGTGCAGCTCCGTGGCTCTGCAGGAAGCCCTGCAGGCAGCTTAGCAGCATCCCGTGAAGGCAAGCTCTGCCCAATAAAAGCAGCAAGCCTAAACTTTTTCTTTCTTTCTTTCCCCTGGAGCCTGCCTGAGCTGAGCAGGGGCTTGGTGCTTCCCTCTGTGGCTGCGGTGCCCCCTGGGACTGCCTAAGCTGGGTGCCTGTGGGCAAGTACTGCCTGGGGGATGGGGCACTGCTACCACAGAGGGAAGCACCAGCTCATCCCCTGCAACCCAGGGACCACTTCACCTACTGGCAGCTTACCTTCCCCTCCCCGCTGCCAGAGAGGCAGGTAAGTTGGGTGTGTGCACGACATGGGCATTTAATGCCGTGCACGACACGGGCATTTAATGGGCCCTAAATTGAACTGGTGTTTTTAAAAACCCACCACTTCAATTTAGGGCCCCTGTTTCATCTACACATGCCCATAGAGACCAAGGGCAGCATTTACAGACCCTGAGCCATGGGAAAACAACCAAAGCTGAATCACTGTTGATATTATGTTTCTGTGTTATGAAGAAGCTTGACCTTCTCCAGTCCCCACTCAGTCTTGACATGCAATCCCAGACACAATTATGGCAGTTTTCAGACTTTCAGCTGACTTTTATCCTTCTGTAGCTGCAAGAATATTTCTTTGACCAACAGTTCACTAAACACAATGATTATCATTCCAGATGTTCAAGATGTTGCCTCATCTCCTCATGTCCCTCCCTCTGTGGGGTAGGGTTCATTAAAAAAGATATAGTTGTTTATAGCTGTTTTCAGGCCAAAACTAAGGCGTGTGGAAGGATAGTACTGTATTTACTCAAATCTAAGATGACCCTGAATTTAAGATAAGCCCCCAGTAATTAGATTCTATACATGGAAATTTTGTAAACTTGTTACAGTTTTCCATGAATAGAATCTAATTATTGGGGCATCATCTTTAATTCATCCCCCCAACCCCACTACTGGAGGGTGGCAGGCAGTCAGGGGGCAGATGGTATGGAGAGGTCAAGCAGCTTGCTCCCTGCTTGTACCTGCCCCTCCCTGCCACCTGTGCCCCCTGCATGCCTCCCCCCACAGCCTCAGACATCCCCCCATGCCCTGCACCTCTAGTTCCCCGTCTGTTCCTCCACTTTGATGGATAGAAAATAGTATTTAGAGGTTTGCTTTTGGGAATTGGCTTGTAGGTAAAGTAGATATTATATTAGAACAATGGTCCAGGGGAATGGCAGGATTAGTTGATTTCTAAAAGCCTGTTTTTATGAAGTTTCTTTCAAGGCCCCCTGTGTCTGAGGCAAGCAGACACACAGGTTGAGAAATTGAAGGCATGTACTACACTGTTTCATAACATGACCAATGTACCCAAACAGAGATAAGGGACTCTGCAGGTCACAATGCCAATCTTTGGAGCCCTTGGAATTTCTGGTTTTGGTAGCTGGACCAAATTAGGAGGACACCAGAAAGAACCAAAGTAAGATATGTGCATGTGATAGGTTCATGAAACAAAGGAATACGCTGACAGGACAGAATGTGGACAGTATGACAACCACACGGAGACCAATCAGTGATGCCCAGAGGTGAAGAGTAAACAGAGGAGGAGAAAGAATACAAAAGGAGGGATTTCAGATCAGCAAAGTGTCCCTCAGAGGGGAACCCAAGGCCATTATGGACAGAGGGCACACCACCAGCCTGTCTCACCCACCCCAGTGGAGGGGAGGTGGGCCTCGTCCTTCAACCTCCAAGCTGCTGACATTTAACATTCAAGAGAGAACCTCAGAGTGAAGCTTGCATTCTGGCTAGATGTATCTTGACTCTGTGAACCCAGGGACTGGTAGATATATAATCACTTGCATTATTCTTATCTGCTATCACTACGTATCAATAAAATTTGTGTATTATTGAATGGAAAGGTCGTGGTTGGCCTAAGGGTTTTGGGTCCACCCACAACAAGGTATGCAGGTCATACATCCAGTGCCAACACCCTCCAGTCATTGTTTCCTCCCTGCCACATGCCCACCTTCTGCTCCAGCCTCAATTTCCTCCCCTCCATGCTGGTAGGCTCCATCTATCCTGCAGTCTCGGGCACTGAGCCCTGTTCCCATAGCAGCTGTGCAGGCTGCATGCCACCATGCCTGAGGATGTATCATGGATGGAGCCTGGGGGAAGAAAGCAAGAAGGCAAAGGTACAGGGTGGGGAAGAAAAGGGGCAGGTGGGAGAGCAGAGCCTGTGGGGAGGGAAGAGGGAGATGGCAGGGTTCAGAAGCAGTGAAAGTGGAGGGCAGGCAGCGGCTGCAGCTGTGGCTGTTGATGTGATTACCGTCCCAATGCCAGGTAGGGGGTAGAGCCTGAGCCACAGCAGCCACCTTCCTCTCCCAGCCACTCTTGTACATGATGCTAAAACCACGAGCATTTCCCCCCATGTTAAATGAAGAGGAACCTAATCTTAGAATTTAGTAAATATGGTATTAAGGGCAGGGAAGAATGGAAGTGGCAAATGGAAGTCTGTTTAGTAGTGTCAGGCTTCTGTCTGTGTAAACAGCAGTGAAAGATCTCAATAGAAAGTGATAACCAAGCGCTAGGTACAATCAAAGAGAGAAAAAGAAGATACGGGCTTTTGGAAATGTATTTGAAAAGAAAATTCAAATTGTCTTTTTAGAATATGGGAGATATATGTTCTATCTCCTTTACTACATTTTTGCAAAACATAATTATTGTGTAGTTGACTTTATTTGTATGATTTTGATATTGTGGTGGTTACAATTAGACGCAGCAGCTTGTGTTACCTAGTGCTCCTTTGTTGATAAAGACCTTCTTGTGATAAAAATCGTATGAAACTTGATCTCCTGGGAAAGTCCTCTCTGTCTTCAGAAACCTGGAGAAAGAGAGTGCTCTTTGAAAAATTCACTTCCAAGGTTTTCAAGGAAGAATGGACCATGACATTTTAGAAGTGTTGTGTAAGCAGTGTTGTATAAGCAGTGCTTCACTGATTCTTCTATTGTTGGGACTCGTGATTGGTTACAGTTTTTTACATAGAAGAATTTAGATTTGGCAGTATTTGAGAAACTTTAGAGATGAAGCCATATGGTGTTTTCTTCCTTGCAATAGGGAAAATGTTTATTTCTTCTTGGAGGAGCAATACATCTGACTAGGTAAAGATGTGCTTTCACACATCTTTCTTCCTCCCTCTTGTGAATCCACTTCTGTGGACTTCTGGAGATGACTTGGATTAGAAATCTAATGGTAGAACATTCAGAAAGCAAATTTTGGCTACTTTATCTTGAAATTGGGATATTTTGAAACCTCCCAAAATTATTTAAAATAGTACTTCACTGCTATTTCAGAGCATTTTAGCAACCTGCTTTTTACCTGGTCTCTTGTGGGGTGATTTTGGTTTGGTTTTTATCAGGTGCTTGGTGGCTGTTGTGTATTAGATGTGCAGAAGACAACAGTTTTAGGACTTCTTTGATAAATGGCTGTTTTTGAACCTAGGGCGGTGAATCCTGATTCAGGAATCCCCTCCTAGCCCCCTGATCCTTTGGAAAATATTTGATATCTTGGCTTTTACCGATAAGTAAATCCCCTATAAGTTGTGTCTCGTACAACAAATGTGTGATAGTATCTCTTTTTAAACTAATATTCAAACCAGTTCATTTTCTGTAGAGTATATGTTTAACTTCATCTTCAGCATTTTTAATTAGGGAGGATTTAGAAGAAAGAAATACAAAAACCTTTGGAAGAAGCCATAGGAAACATATTTCCAATACGTATTCCTGGAAAAAAATAGTTGTTTTCAGGGATGGCTTCTTGTATTTGTTTTCCAGATGTTTAATGTCTCTCATTTTTTATTTCTTAGAAATAAAAATTCCATTCATCCATAAAAGAGCATAGTCTGTGGAGCAGGTGTGATTTACTTCATTAAACCAGCACCATGTGTGAATAGGCTTAAACCAACATGCACTGCAGCACGTTGTGATTTGAAGCACATGAAAAACCATCTTTAGGGGATAAGTTCTTGGAAATTAAAAAAGCAAATTTCCATAGAAACAGAAATTGTATTGTTATTATATTAATATTATATAATATTATTATTATAATATTAATATTATTTAATATGCTGTGAAATTGCCTTTATTTTAAGCCGGGCGTTTCCAAAGCCAAAAGAGCTTTGAACACATAATGATATGTAATGACAATAATAATGCATGGTTTAAATGAAAACCTCAGCTTTTATTTTGACAAACTAGCTATATGACCCTTATCTTTATTTGTGTTTTCAAACCACTTCATAACAGAGAATCTTATCCTCGGTGTGTCTGAATGTCAGACTGAGCTCATTAACTTGTGAATCCTCACTAAATTATTGTGAGCAAAGTCACAGTTATCATCCCCATCTGACAGCAGGATAACTCTTCAGCAGAAATGACAGATGGGAGTTGGTGTCAGAGGATTAAATGTAGTAGCTTGTGACTTAAGTCACAAGAACACATACATGCCCAGGTTTTAGCCCTTCTCCACTTCTCCATATCACACAGTTCTGTGGTTTGTCAACAGGCATTTTCCAGGGGGCTTTGTGTACGATGTAGCCTTCTGAGGGTCTCTGAAATTAAAGGCGTAACTGGGAGTTTTGTAACAGTGGGCAGGGCAAGGCTGATGCTGAACAGGGGAGAGACTCCAAAGACTTTTGCCGCAGTGTAGTGTCCTCTCATGCTGTGGGCTGCTGCTACCACTACTGATGAGTAGGCTTCCCACATGCTGGCAGCAAGCTGCCACTGTTATCATAACTGCTTCTGTCATTGTTGCTGCTACTGTCACATGGGCTCCTCACATATGGGTGGCTATTCCTGCACCCTTTTCTGTGCAGGCTCCCTGGGGAGGGTGAGGTGGGGCACCCTTTTGGTGCTTTCTCTAACTTGAGGCCTGGGGCTAGTACTCCAATCGTCCACACCAAGTTATGCTACTGTCAGAAGCAGACCAGCTGGTACACACAATCCAACCAGGATGCATTCCCCTCCAGTGTTGACCAGTGTTGCTCATCAGTGCAGAGATTTATAATTGAAGCATGCTCTGGGTCCCATTTTGCTATCATACTTTATCTAGACTATAAGAGTCTAGTCTAGACTCTTATCTAAACTATTAATATTTAATGAAATAGTGCTAATCTGAATTAAAGAAGCTTTGAGAACATTCAGACAGACATGCGCTTTTATTTCCTGGCTAAATAGTTGTACATTTCTCTGATAATGCAATATTATTGCTTCCACAGTCATTCAAAATATCACACAACGGACCTCACCTAAAACCACAGACAGAGACAGATCCTCTCTGCCAATACTAGGTAAATATCAATTTCTTTCCTAATTCTCTGGCATCTAGTAAAAGAACTGCATACATCTTTTTCACTTTCTTACCTTTACTTGTTGTCTTTCATATTGATTGGCACCATGAGTTGGGTTCAGATTTTATTCATTACGTCTCACAGTACAGTTGGTAAGGAATGATGCAGCCTAAGGGGAGAAAAGGACTGTCCTGAATATTAAAAACAAATAAAATTATTGCTGTCTTATCCAAAAATAGCATTTTCTTACTACAGGGGAAGATAAAGAGGTCTGGTGCAGAGTTTTTGAGAACATCTGCTGAGTATCATTTGTGCAGCGGTCGTTCAGAACTGTTGTACTAATATAGCCAGCTTTTATTAAAGGATATTCTAAACTTCCCCATTCCTCTTTGTGTTGGGCCTCAGTACACTGCTGTTTACCTTTCGCATTCAGTTGTGTGTGTTTTGTGCCCTAGTGTTCACACACAAGCAAGTGGCAGGAAGCGGGGGATGGAATAAGCATAGTAAGAGGGTACATAGTAAAATTGGGAACCTTTTACCTGATGTATCTTGAGACAAAATTATTCCTGGTATAATGTTATGGAACTCAGAAATGGATTTAACTTGTTGTGCATGGAAAATCTCTGCCTGCGTGGTATTTGTCTGGCCTAACTTGCTGTCTCTGAGTTTTACTGCTCTGACTAGACTCAGACAGTTCCTCGCTAACCCCACAAAATAAATCTGTGAATTCCAGGTATGTCCAATTAGAATGCACCTATCGTGATGCTGAATTGATAGGGCCACTACACTTTTCACATATATTTGATTTCCATGGAGAAGGGCACTAAATGAATAGTGATTAGAAGAGCAGTATTGGACATTGTGATTAATAATTAGACATTTGGAAACATCTGAATTCTTCTCTCAGATACTTGTACTACTCTCCCACTGATGAGGTGGAAATTGCCCACCCAGATTACAGATCACCATCTTGTGAGTGAGTGGCTCACTTATCTTTGTGTGTAGTGCATCTTATCATTCCAGGTCTCAACGAAAGCCTGAAAAAACTCCCTCCTGCCCTGTCAATAGAGGATATATCTCAAACAGTCGAGAAAAAATTATGTAAGTAGAAATGGCTTTAACTAAGCTGTTACGGTTCTTGAGCATGAGCAATAAAAATATTGTCTTGGCATGCAGGGACTAGCAGAGGTGGCATAGAACCTATGGGGGTATGTGGGGCCCAATACAGGTGACAGGGATAATGGAGGCAGTGCAGGACCCAATCCTGGTGCCTGGGACCCAGTCTGACCCACAGACCAGCCCTGCACCGCTTATCCAACCTGTGGGCCAAAAGATATAGCACCACTCTGAGAGAAACCTCATCGGCTTTAGTGGTTTGTTTTATTCTGAGCATTTGCTTTGAACTGTTTTGGTTGACAACTTGTTTCCAATTGGAAGAGGCTCTTTGTAGGCACCCACTTATTTAAAAACTCTCATAAGCATTTCACTAGCTTCAGATTTTTTTTTCTGTAGAAAATGCAACTTGGAGCACCAGGGACAAAGGCTGTATTTATGTTGTTTGTGTATTAACAGCTTATTTCCAATAGGGTTGGGTTTTTTATTTTTATATTCTCCATCTTTCTTAATGCATATTTTAAAAATGTAATTCATTTTATCAGTCTATTTATTATGCCATATTTCTAGGGTGGTTAGTCACAGTTGTGTAGTTCTGTTACCTTCTATGGGGTCTCCATTATTTATACAAATTGCATCCCAGAAAATAGGAAATGCTTGTTCATTATCCATAATAAATGCATACTGAAATCAAGTTAAAACACACTCTCAGTGCAAGTTACCTCATTATGTACCTCAAAACCGAAGGGGCAAAATGTAGGTGAGAGAATGTACTAATGCTTTTGTCTGAGATTGCTAACTCAGGTGCCTGTTGTGAGCACTGGTTTTCTGGCATGCACACTTTTTATTTCAAAGGTGCAGTGAGGTCACCAACTCATATCAGAAAGTCCACTTGCTTTTGATTTTGTTAGCATTAATGCTAATTTTGATCTGGTGATATAAAGATGAAGATTATCTTCTCTTATGAGCCATTTCATTCATTTACCTATTGTTCCATTGCTGGCCTTCACAATTTCTCAGAGTGAGTCCACTATGCAGTAAGAAAACAGAGGTGCAGTGTCTTCTCCTTTGATTCTTCAGAATCAAAGGCTAGTAGGGTTGAAAGGAACCTCAGGATGTCATCTATTCCAACCTCCTGCTCAAGGCAGGATAATACTGTGCTCATTTTAGGGTTTGCTATTCGGTGGGATAACCTAAAATTGTTTTTGAATGAAGCAGTGCTTAGAATACCAAAAGGAAATATATGATGCCATTGGCAAGATGAATACTATTATCTTCAGCTGTGACATAAAATAAATGATCCATATAGCTAAAGAGAAGGATTAAATCATACTCTGGAGTTAAAATGAATACAGAGGGTTATTTTTTGTATCACGTGCATGGCATTCATTTCCCCACTCATTGTCTTATTGCTTCATAGCTAGATAGATATTTGTTTATACTACCATGATTATAATAATCCATGATATATTGCATTCTGCAGTTAGCAAAATAGAATACCATTAACATCAGTAAAATTAAAATTGACTAGTCACTTACTTTTTTCAGTACATATTATGCAATGAAAAGGAAGTAATTTTTTGTTTTTAGAATGCAAGACTCAGGATCATTTCACAGTCCTTTACCCATAAAAGTTTGCTTACCTTGCAAGAAAGGAATGCCTTTCCATTCAGAGACAGGCAGTAGAATTCACCCTAGAGAGCATGCAGAATTTTTAGGTGCTAGGACTTCTGCATCCAACAGGCAGGCTGGATCCCTTTAAAATGAGGTATGGACATACAGCTTTAGGGACAGATCCAAATGGAATGCAGCAGCAGAGCTGCACCTCCCTTTTAGACCACCTGACCAAGGTAGCTGCTGGAGACAAATTTTAAAGTCCTCAAATCAAGTAAAACTTCTGCCCCCCTCCCCGCCCCACTCTTCCCCTCCATGCTCAGTGGCATGTCTCCCACTTTTCCACACTTGCCACTGCCATTATCTCTACTTTTCTTGGCTAACCCAAGGGTTGGGGGAGCCTTTTGAGCTGCTCCAGCCCCATTCCAGCTGGGCTGCATGGGGAGACTTAACTTGGAACAGTGGTACCAACAGCAACAGGCGGGTTCCTCCTCCCTCTCCAGTCCCCCTGGGACTAGGGACAGACATTACACATAAACCAGTTTAAGTGATCAGAAACTAGTATAAGCATGTAATGGAACAGATGTTCAGTGCACATAAACCAGTATGAAAATGGCTGAATCCAGTTTGAGATAAACCTGGCTGAATCTAGTATCAGACTAAACTGATTTGGGTCAAACCGGTTTATGCCATGTGTGTCCCAGACTACTCGCTGGTTTAAGACTCCCCAGCATCCCGGCATGCTCTCTGGGTGGGGCTCTCTGCTTCTCAGCAGGACTGGCCCCTCCACTCTGCTCCAGAACAGACTGTGGGCTGCTTCCCCCCTCCCCCTCACCACTTCCTGCTAAGCAGGAATTCCCATCTCCCCTCTGCCTTGATGAGAGGTGTCTTTGTATTAGCTAGAAGAGTAGTGGTGCCTCAAGGACTGTGCATTTGGGGATGTTGAGTTGGGTCTGCATGAGTGGGCTTGAAGAGCTACACTGGGGGTGTGTAGAGTAGGGTTGCCCCGGGCTACTTGAAGGATTGCACATGAACCAATCCCTGCAAGATTGAGACAGGAAGGATTTTTCCCCAGTGAAGAGTTAGGGGCAGAGTCAGCCCAGGGTTTGGCACAAGGACAGGGTCATGTAGAGTAGGGGAACTTGAGTGAACCAAAGGTGGTGTGCGTGCTGTGTCAGAGAGTGAGTAGGCAAGCCTGCCAGCCAAAGGGTCACTCAAGGGAGCAGGGCAGTAGAGAGTGGCCCAGTGATGAGCAGAATGCAAGAGGCTCCTGTCAGATGGGGCAGAGTGAGTATGACTATGACAGAAGCTCAACAATGGATTGAGTTTGGCCAGCGTGAACCCAGGGTGCAATAATAATATTCTGGATGCCATCTATGAGGCATGGGCCATGGTATAGGAGAGGTTCAGAGCTGTGGATGGCACCCCCTGGCATCAGGGTAGTGAATGGGTAGCCTCCCGCTTAATGTAACATGATAACATTCAAGTCATGGCAGGCGAGTCAGGCCAGACTGCCCTAGGCAGGTGGGTGGGCTAACTCATGATCTACCCCTGGGAAGGCCCCCTGTCACAGTCCCTCTGTTGTTTTCTTCATGGAATGATAAACACTGAGTTAGGGGTGATAAACACCTTCTTGAGCACCATGACGTTACATCCAACACTTCACTGACAGTTACTTCCACACCAGAGTTTACCAGAGCTGATGTTTTTAGCTAGAGTTAAAAACCATCTGCAGGGCTGTGAAATAAGAGCTAAATTATTTGAGTAGCTGACTGATAGTAAAAATGCCGAAGAAAGGATAACTTGATTAGGGGAACATTAAATCCATTAAAAAGGAGAGAGAGTAGTTAACACCTGTGGAGTGAAGAGAGATTAGCAGGAATAAGGTAGATTATAAACAACTATGAAGTTAATTCACTCCCTCACTTCTTCCGAAATAAAAATGCTGCTACCACTGCCAGGCAATTCGTTTTAAACTTTGAGTGGAATAATAATCAAAGGGGGATGTGACCACACCACTGAACCCCTCTTAGATTTACTCTTGTGTGCTACCATTTTAGCTGAGCATTAAAACAAGCTTTGAAATGAAAGTGAAATGTCATTGTCATAAAGATTAAATTTATACAAGTATTATTTGAAGGAGAATAAATAATTCATTAGAATGAAGGCTCCTTTGGCTTCTATACAGTTTTTGGAAATTTATCTAACTCTTCTGCAAAACTTCTGGAATTATGTCCTGTCTGTTGAACCTTGCAAGGACTAACTCCCAGTTTAGGTTGTAAAATTGATTATTCTCAAGTTGTTTTTAAAAATGCCTGAACTGAGGAGTTTAAAAATAATTATTAGCAGCCAGAAAGCAGTTTATTTAAAATCTGTAGTTATCCTTGCTTTTTTTTTAAATATAAAGCCCAAAGGCAGTCTCTCATAAATATTTATAACATCAGTTTCTCAGGGGCATAAATGTGATGCGTCACGCTGATACTGAATTGAGACTCACAGGACCATGTGGCCATGTGAGATGATTACATGTCCAATCTTGGAAGGTGTTGATCATCAGATGCACAGAAAAACAGCTGTAAAAGCAATGCAGGTCTCAGATAGCAAAATAGATGCTGGTACTGGATGTGCAGTGAGGGGAAGTTCATTGGTCCCTCAGGTATTTGACTTCTCATATTTATTCAACTTGGATTATTCTACCAAGGTGAAGTGGGATAGGGATAAATCTGAACAGAAGCAGAACAGATACTGCTCTGATATTTACAGTCTAACCTCTGCCTTTATAGCAAAGAATGAAACTCTGTTGTGGCCTGCTGAATCTAAAACACCAGAAGTGCAAGAACTCTCCCCACAGTCCCTCCCAGGTAATCATGAATCTATTCTGTGTTTTTATACCCTGTGTTATGTTACCTTTGCCAACGATTGTTCTATATATGAATTAAAAACATCCTTCATGTCTCAAGCTGCAGTTGAAATCAGCTGTGATTTTAGCAGTGTAAAAAATTGGTTTGCTCAGTAGATGTGAACTGAACGATATGAGCTGAACTTTACAATAAAAGACATTAAGGCTGTATCATTTAGTTTATCCTTCAGGAATTGTTCCTACTGATTGAGAGAGTACAGTGAAATCAAATTTGCCAAACAAATTAAATATGGAGAAAAATAAACTTTTAACAAAAAACCCGAGAATAAGATGTTTTTCTAAATTTTTAAGCAGTTATTTGTTTTTCATTGCAGAAAAAATAATTCCCCAAATAAAACATTGTGTTTTTATGTCTGTAAACTGGTTTATTGTTGTTTAAAAGCATAAAGATTATCCAGCTTTCAGATACGGGTGCCTAAAATTAGACAAGTAAATGCATATGCAGACAGCTTAAAACAGCCTGATTTTTGGAGCTGTTGGCCTGAATCTCCCATAGACTTCAATGGCAATTAAAGGCGCCCTGCACATTCCTAGGTAGGTGCTGAAGGCATTCAAATTGGAAAAGTTTGGTCCAAATGTCTAAATAGATTAGAACTGTAATGCTTTTTCCTGCATGTAACGGAAAGTAGCAATAAAAGCTATAAAAGAATCCCGAAAATGTTTTGGACAGTGATTATTCTCCTGAATTTATATCCCAGTCACTTCAATATTAAGAACTTAACAATGGAAGTGACTTTTCATAGTCAAAGTTGAGAGGAACAGTGTAAAATGAGCAGTGGAACACGGTGGATTTGGAAAAAGAAAACCTGGAAGCTTCTACTTTCAAAGGTGCCTCATTAAAATAGAAGACACTATGTGGAAGTTATTCAGTACTACAAACTAGCTCTAAGGAGACCTTTAGGCAGGGCTGTCCAACTTCTAAGTGACTGGGGCCTACGTGCTGTACATACTATGCCAGCAGGGGTTGCCTGGCATGGGCACCACAGCCCAACCCCCCCCCCCCCCCCCCCCTTGGCCCC